CCAGGTGATCAATGATGCACCAACTCTCTCGAAGGATGGAAGGACCGTTTTGCTTCAAGCAGTTGCCAGTCACCAATGGCCTTTGATTTCTTTTGATATCTCAACTGCTTTTCTTCATGGAAAAGGTGACGGTCGACCCCTAGGTCTAGTTCCGGTTCCAGAAATGCGTGAAGCCCTGAACATGTCAGAGACAGACCAGGTGCAACTGGATGGAGGGGCATATGGCAGGATAGATGCTCCCTTTCTTTGGTTCTGTGAGTTTAGGGATGAACTGAAACGCCAAGGATGTCGACAATCACCTCTCGATCCCTGCGTTTTTACCTACCACTCCCAGGATGGTCTGGAAGGCTGTCTTGGGATTCACGTTGACGACGGCATTGGCGGAGGCAGTCCAAAGTTTATGGACATGCTACGTAGGGTAGAGAAGAAATTTAAGTTTGGGGCTTTTGAAGAAGGAGAATTCACCTATACCGGGATTCATTTTAGGCAGTGGGATGATGGATCGATTGAGTACGACCAGGTCCCCTACATCGAGAAGATACAACCCATCGCTCTTGGGAAGGGACGCAAAGAAGATCCTGAATCCTTGATTTCAGAAGGTGAAAGGACCGCTTTCAGAAGCCTCATTGGAGCACTCCAATATGCAGCAGTACATAGCAGGCCAGATCTAGCAGCCAAAGTAGGAGAGTTGCAGAGTGAGGTCACTAGGGCACAGGTAAAACATCTAGTTTTGGGAAACAAAGTGCTGACAGAGGCCAAGCAGAATCGTGTTTCATTGATGGTGTTGCCGATCCAGCCCGAGAGAGTGACCTACTGTGCATTCTCGGATGCCTCCTTTTCATGCACCAAACATACCACGGCACAACAAGGAACCATAATCTTTGCAACGACACCCGAACTTTTGGAAAATAAGAGGTCTGTGGTAGCTCCAGTCGCCTGGTATAGTAAGAAGATTCCTAGAGTTGTCAGAAGTACACTTGGTGCCGAGGCAGCAGCACTGAGCAATTCAGTCGACCGACTTTTGTGGCTCCGGATCCTGTGGGCAACAATCCTCGACCCGGACTGTGATTGGAAGAATCCTGAGGTTTTGTTGAAGAGCCAGAATCAAGCAGGCCTAGTCACCGACTGTAAATCGGCCTACGACCTTTTGACACGAACAGCGTTGCCACAGTGTTCTGAACACAGGACGACTATAGAGTGTCTGCTGATTCGCGAGAGGCTTCGTGATAATGCCACCGTCAGGTGGGTTTGCTCACAAGCGATGTTAGCCGACTGCTTGACGAAGACGATGGACAGCAGTGCTTTGAGAGAGTGTTTAAGAACTGGCAAATACATCCTTCGGGACGAAAACCACACGTTGAAAGAACGGCTAACTGCTCGGGAGCGACTGAAATGGATCAAGCAGCATGGATCGACAACAACTCGATCATCCGAAGAAGCCATGTTGACTGAACAGATCGGCAAATCTATGCATGAGGAGGATTTTTGGAAAATGGGTCCAAAGGGAGAACTCATTCGGGTGCACGTGAAACCAAGATATCAGTTGTTTTCACCTGTCGGGGTTGTTGACTGTCCTGTTGACTTGAGAAAACTCGAAGTTTTTAGGGACACCTACCAACAGGGGTGTGCAGGAGAACGCAGCTACTGGGTGGGAACATGTGCACATCGAAAGACTTCCTTCCCATGGACCGGCGAGACAGTCTTTTACAAAATAAAAGAGTAAAGGGTGTGTGAAGCTCACAAGCTTACCAATCAGATGTCTCGCATGACGACCTTTTGATCGAACCTACCGAAAGGGTGGGTGGGTGGACCGAACATCGTCGACAAAGAGCGAGGCCGCTTGGACAAGAGGACCGGGTTTCCCCAAGGTTAGGATCATTCAACTCCAGGGTGAGATTAACAATATATATATATATATGATATATGTGACTAGTGGATGTAAAATATATGCATATATATTTTTTTGTATAGATGTATATATATATATACAACTTGTTTGTTTCCTACACCCAGGCCAAAAAGTCATAGCCTACTCAGAACATTTATGTTACATACTGTATTACTGTATGTGCTTGTTTCAATTTGCTGCTCATGCCCTCAAAAGGGGCGTGGGCTTTTATTTGCCAGATCAGATCAGGAGGCTTCTTTTTCCACCTCCTCCCTATGCCTGGTCTGAAGACGGAGAGCATGATGGCGAAATTCTGTTCATGCCTCTCTCCATGATGGAGGATGTGCGAAAGCTTTGTGGCGTTGAGGAGGACGGAAGGCCTGCCAATGAGCCTTGGATCACGGGACAATGATGTCATGCCTGTTCACCTGGTTCTACTGTAAGTTCAAATAGAACATATCAACAACCAGACGTAAATCAAAACCACATGTGACAATTTGAGTCCCGTCGCCATCTAGAAATCCAATAATGGTTCAATTAGATAGTTCAAATCTGTATGTAGGTCCTCGTCTTCTGGCAATGTCCTCCTTTTTTCATCCAGGACATCGGGATGCTTAATTTGGGAGCCTCCTCCGATCACCAATCCCAGTATCCACGTACCCGGCGATCCTCCCCCGCTAGATGTATGGCTTTCTAGATTTGTCAGATGCTTGCTTCTCTGTCAGTTTGCTCAAGTACCCTTACTTGAGATCAGATGCGGCCGCCACGTGATGCGGCGTCGATGATTGGTGCATTCATGTTAGCCACAGTCGATGTTGGGTTCCGTAAGGTATACGGATGTATACGGTGTGTTGACTCTCATGCTCTAGGGGCCCTTAGATTTGTCTCACTATTTTTGGTTCATGCCCGTAGTGCACATATAGCAGTGTCCAAGGTGTGCTTGCACATATGTCGTGCAACAAGGAGCACCGCGTGGCATTTCGCTATATGCACCATTTACTAACACCACTTACTGGCACCTCAGTTGAATATACTTGACTTGAAAGCGGTCCAAGAGTGATCGCCGCTTGTACTTATGGTGGTATAGTATGGCGGGCTTATACGGCTCATGTGAGAGTTACAGTGTGGTTTCGTCATTTCACTATTGCCTTTGGTGTTTGGGCCATTTCCCATTGAATCGGTGATAGATTAGCAATTTGCCGGGCTCAGGAGTGGTTCAAGGGCGTTTTGCAAGCGCTGGTAGCTGAGTCTTGGTGAATTTAGAAGGCCCCCGAGGATGCACAATACAACCCCAAACTAGATCCACATCACCTCAAGAACTACTGATATCATTTGATATCTATAGATTAATTCTCGTTCAGGTTCCCTGTAAGTCTTCCAAGCCCTTGGTTGGCCTTTGACGGTAGGTTCCCTATTTATACCAACTGCATCACCACCAGCGGTCACCTGCACGACGCACGTGTGGTAAGTGGATTGACTCTTGGAACCACAGGTGGCGCGGCACAAGACTTGGGTACAGGCTGCCAGCTTCCCGATTTCATGAGTCACATCGACTGATTCAAAACGCACTCAAGCCAAGCCCTTGGTTTGATTGCTGAGTGTTTGCGGCACCCTCAGCTCCAGGTGATGCAAGAGAAGAATGTCGAATGTCCTCAGTTGGAAGGAGCCTTCGAGGAGTTCGCAGAGCTCGTGGAGGATTATTTCAATCCGAGGTACATCCCAGCCACGAAGGCCTAAGGAATGCGTGGGATCGCGGACCAAGACCCAGTGAATCAGGATGAACATGTGGGAACGGGAAATCGAGAAATAGGTGGGCTAGTGTTATAAAGTCTTTGCGTGCTAGCTCCCTTTCCACCTTGCAGTGCTGATGTCCACTTGATTTTGACATGTGCTCCTGGTTTCCGGACATGCGCTGCTCCGTTCCAACGCTTCCATGTGCGAAGCCATGACGCTGAAGGAGGTCTTGGATGAGATCGCAAAGAAGCCCAGCGGAACCGCGTGAGCGGTGCCCTGTTTCGGTATGGCAAAAGGTTGGGCGCCAGAGGACCGCAACAGCTTCACGGGCGAAAGCAACAAGCCGGAGCCGAAGCCGGAGCCGGTGATGGACTGCTTTTTGTGGGATGGCAACCCGAAGAGGATGCTCAATGACCTCACCAAGGGTCGCGGAAAAGCTCCAGATCAACATGGACCCCGAAAGCACTGGGTTGCAGAGAAAAATGCTTTGAACAACGGATGAGTTCTCAGGGTCTGAGGGTCTGAGCCTGCGGCGCAAATCATCTCAATGAACGGCCCATTTGAAGTCCCAGACTGGCCCTGCGGAGTCAAAAAAGGCAGGCCAGCAGATGAGCACGGGTGGGACTGGAAGTGTTGTTGTTGTTGTCGTCGTCGTCGTGGTCGTGGTCGTTGTCGTGGTGGTTGTCGTGGTGGGTGTTGGTGTTGGTGTTGGTGTTGTTGTTGTTGTTTGTTTGTTGGTTTGGTTTGGTTTGGTTTGGTTTGGTTTGGTTTGGTTTGGTTGTTTGGTTTGTTGGTTTGTTTGTTTGTTTTTTTGTTGTTGTTGTTTCGGAGTGTTGGGATTGGCTCATGAAATTGCAGTGGGTACGTGTTTGTACTGTTGAAACTTTGGAAGACCCCAATGGCTTGAGTTCTTGGATGAATCTTGGAACCTTAGGAGCTGAATCGCAGGAACATCAGACAAAGCCTTTCCATGCATGTACATTTATGATAGGGGCCAGCCCTTTTCCAATTCCCTTGATTGAAATGAGCTCATGGCTTGCATTCCAAAACGCAGGAAACCGCTAGACAACCCAAAATATTGTTTGAGATTGGGGACACGAAGAAGTGTTGTCCGCTACTCATATACAGACATGCCCAGTGCAGCAAATCACATCCATATCAAGCCGATAAGCCGCTAAGCCCAAGTTGAGAAAAGATTGTTTATGTCCGATGGTTCCAACAGTCAGTGACATTGCGAAGCGAAACCATCTAACAGTAACTAACCTGGAACCCCTCTAATTTGTCACGGCGGATGTGAGTTGCTGTCTCACAACGAGGAATCTAGTGTGTTTCTGGCTGGTTTGGGTCTTCAAGCGTTCTCCACTTGAAGAAAAGCCAGGAACTCCAAGTTGACCTTCTTGCTGCTTGGAAGATTGGAATCAGCAGTCATGCCACATCTACAAATCTACAGCACAAACCATTGCATATGAAACTAGTTGCTAGTGTGATCACACTTTTGGTGAGTTTGAGGACTCCGTTTGGTTCAATGAGGCAGTTCATGTGCTTTCTTGAAACATCATGAAGCATCCTTTGGCCCATGAGGTGTTCGCTTCGAACACTTAACTTCTATCATTTCAGAAGGATTTGCACTTACAGCCCCAAGACAGGCAAAACTGGTGATCCGGAAGGTCCTTGTATGATTCATATGGTTTGTTGTAAATGTATGTATATATATATATATGCATGTGTACTATACATATTATATTATATTGTTATTTTTAGATATTTTATATATACTGAGATACTGTACATGTATATGTTGATTGCACATATATATATATATATACATACACCCTGTCAGACTGTTGGCAGTTGGCCTCAGGTGGTCCTTGTCCTGGAAACTCACTCGATGCCAATGTTTCCAGTGACATCGGTGGAATGGTGAGAGGTAAATCTGTTGAGTTGCTCGGTAGCTATCCAAGATCAACACCGATGACTCCTTTGGCACGCCAAAAAAACAACAGTACTCCAAATGCAATCCGGGGTGGCCTGAAATGACCCAGGTTGGAAGACTCCTTGCGGGGGAACTCCAAGAGCGCCTGGGTGCCCTGTGGACGGTGGAAAGGACGAGAAGCCACGAAGCTGAGGTCATTGGCAGACCGTGAAGAACACCTTAGAAACACCAGGGTCCATTTTGAAATGCCAGTGGTGTGGGGTTTTCAAAAGGCAAACGGTTTTTTCATCATCCTGGGGTGCTTTTGCAGGGGGCCAGACGTGGGAGGATGGGAGTCAAGATGGCTTTGTTTCTTCTTAAGTGCGGGGAGATGCACTTGGGCCTGTAGAGCCATAGTACGCCAGCTTTGTTTTGGACTCCCTCAGGTCAAGCGACATTGCCAATGACAAAGTAGTCACTAATGGATTGCTGAGGAACATGTTCTTACCAAATTCCATTCTAGCATGTTATGTTGAATATCGGAAATGATTGCACATGATTGCAGCAACATCATTGTTTTGGCTCCAAGGCTTTTCCTTTTCTTAAAGACGATTCATGATTTCTTGCAGATGACGCAACGCGACCTAAGGGCGGCCAACATTGTAACATTTGTAACAGACACTGTCAGACAACCCCAGCAGATGATATCCTTTTTGACCTCATTGTTCCCCACGAACCACTCGGCCAAGGCCATGATCGCAGCATTATCTCCAGCTGGATCTGACTACGAGGAGACCATGAGCACCTTGCAGCCACTGAGCCGAACAAAAAGAGGGGTATATATGTATTCTGTAGGTATAGACATGACAGTATATCCTTTGCCAGGCATACAAAACACACCACTTCTCAATGCTCAAGGGATCCGAGTGGCAAAGCACGGAGGATGGTGCTGTAAACCAAGTCCTCACCTTTGAGCCACTGGCATGTTGGAAGACGATTCTAGCAGCCTAGCACCTGGGCACGTTCGGAAGTTAGGCACGACCTGTGGGTCACGGCTTTTCAACATCTGAAAAGCCACGGCGGTGTCGTCCTCGAGGTCTCGGCAGGGCGTGCTGGTGGGACATCTAGACCCAGGGAGTCAACTGAGGGAGGTGGACACCCCCAAAGGGAACCAAAGAACTCAAACATGAGCCCTTTCAGTGCGGTGTAGAATCTCATGTTTTTGGATGATTGAGTCTTTATTGCCTCCGTAGTGGACATGAACTTGTTGTCCGTTGAACTCATAAGGCGTTCAATATTTAATTTGTGGTCGTTCTTTGAGAAACAAGGTCCAGGGCCCAGAACTATACTCTCTACTGTATTAAACATATTTAGATATACAGTATTTTGAACAACGGGCGAACAAGGGGAGCAAACACGGCCACCTCTCGCTGTTGTTTGTTGCCGCCTTTTGTTGACCTGTGGCTGCATGCGTTGGGTCATTTTTGCCAATTGTTTCTACCTCCTTTTGAACGTTCAGTTGATGGACTTTACAATGATGGACTTGTTCTTGGCTTCTTCGCGTGGAGCGAGGGTCAATCGAACTATTGAACACGAGCGTCAGCCGGTCATGGGATGCACCGCCGGTCGGTTTCTGAGGTTTGCGCAGCACGTCAAGGCCGGGCGATGTCGTGTGCTGTCGCCGTCGGGCCGTGCGAGACTATATAGGGAGCCTTCACATGCAGGTGATTGAGGGGTGGAGGCCATGCAGAGCATGCAGTCTTTGGTTTTGATCGGTTTTGAAATTGCTTTGGGGCCAACTGGGCCAAGTGCTGCAGAGCATGTCAATCGCAAGCTGCTGGACGCGAAATTGAAGCGCAGCTTCAAGCGCGTTCTAGGCGGTGAAGACGAATGCCAAAAAGAATTTGATCAAAGAAGTGCCTCAGCTTCACTCTCAAGTCTCGATTGGTCTTATTTTGTGCGGGGGGAGGTCACTTGAAGACCATGTTGAATGAGGTAGGACCTGTAACTGTCAGCAGTATGCGAGTTTGTGAGTGAAAGGACTCCACAAAACCCTGACAAATAGACTTCAGTGGCTTGAGGGCCCTGACCAGCCCATGAGGATGTGAGGTAGCTGAAGCCTTGCCCAAACAGGAAAGGGTTTGTTCTGCGTTGCTCACAGCAATGAATGGTGTCGCAATAGATGTCCATGCTCTACCCAAATATGGGCTACAGTAGTGGGCTACAGTATATCAATATATAGTGCGCAGAAATAGAAGGGGATGTTGTTCATTGACAGCAGATTAAACTCTCAAGCATTCGGCTTCGTAATGAGCACCCCTTGTGCTTCAGTATTTATTAAACATGATCTTGATCACGCAACTGATCGTGATCAGGAACGTAGGTCCAAGGTTCAGAAGCCTATACGCAGATCTTTGCACAGACGGGAAGAAGATAAGAGAGAAGAACAGGAATACATAAGAGACGAAGACAAACACTGACAAGTTACTGCAGTGACAAGGACAATCAGAATGGAATCAATATTCTGGAGATTGAGATTAGGAGGGGCCCTTGAATCATAGTCGACATTGTATATATTTAACTTAATGACTTAATGTTTACATGAGCCACGTTTTTTTTGCAAATGATTAGGTTTATACAAAAAGGGAACTGTTGAGAAGTCGCGGAGGCTGTTCTGCTTGGGGCGTAGGCGTCGTGTAAGCATTTTGCGTAGGTGGGTGTTGAAAGATTTGCGTAGGCGGTCTTGCGTAGGCACCCTTTTCATGAAAGCCTGAATTTTCTTATTCAGACTTCTTTAAAAGTTGTTCAAGGGTCTTGGGGAAAGATCATGTTGGCTTGTAGTTGTTTAACTTGACACTTGCTTGCAAATTCCAGTGGGGAAGGAAAATGAAAATGAATTGTAACGACATGGCTACAGTGGATGTTTGAAGTTTGTTTGTCGAAGCTATGGGGGCACATTGGTTTTTGAGGTCAAAAGCTTGATCGTGCTTGGTCTGGCACACCGGCTCTTGAGCTACAACTGTGCGCACCCTGTTGGTACCATAATCAATGGACCTATTTTCGCGTAGGCCCCGCGTAGGCGCTCGCGGAAGCAGCGCGTAGGCAAGAAGCTATTGGCTGCTGCTACTGCTTGGCTGCTGCTTTTGCTGCTGCTTTTGCTGCTGCTTGGCTGCTGCTGCTGCTGCTGCTGCTTGTTTGCTGCTTGTTGTGCGCTGTTTATGTGCTGCTGCTTCCACACTGTAATTGGATCGGCTTGATCCAAAATCTATCTGGCCATCGGTGGCAAAGCTGTAAACGCCTTGTAAACAGGAACCTGATGTGACCCGGTCGCATCGGGCCACTACTTGCGGATTATATTATAGCTCTTTTCGAGTCACCTGATGTGACTAAAGTTGGTGACAGTACCCTGCGTAGGCATCCCGCGTAGGCACCTAACAAAGAGAACCTCTCGCGTAGGCATTTGCTTGAGAGGGGAGCCCAGGCGTAGGCACCCGCGTAGGTACAGACCCAGTGTATAAGCCCCACACCACAAAAAAAACACAACTCACATGTTGGATTTGAACATCATGTTGTTGTTTTCTGTGTCAGCCGCGGCCGGGCTGCCAAAAACTGGTAGAGGGAGCATAGTCCATTTTGTTGCTGCTGACTTGATGTTTGGACATTTACAGTAAACCAATGAACGCGGCCTATCCTCTCAACAGTGACCACACTGGCATTCAGTGACCTTTTCCCGGAATTGTCCACCAGGACCACGTGTTGCAAGAACTTGAAGCCGAATGTGCCCGCCTGCGGCATCTGGTGGAGACCGGTGCAGGAGACGGGCGTCTGTACAGTCCAGCTAGCGTAGTGGACAGGACTTGATGATGTAGTAGAGATTTGTTGCTATGGCTCATCAGGACTCGAGAGCTTGTGTTGGGTTGGTTTGAAGATCGTTAGGGTGATGCCGCTACATCACCCTTGCCGCAACATGCATCCAGAGGACGACTTGACTCGTGTTTCGCCACCACACCAAGCTTTATAACATTGCAGCCGTGAAATGAAATACACTTCAACATGGATGACACAGCTGGATTGGACTTTCAATCGCCAGCCACAACGACAAGAGAAGCCAGCAAGCAGCACTCATTTCACTGTTAGCTAGTCACTGACAGCTTGGGAGTGTATGTTGGTTGCTTGGGACAAGTTGGATGCTTGTGCAAAGTCTGGACATGTGAAACGCCTGCAGGGCAAAGCCAAATTCAAGAGCTGGCAGCCTTGGAGGAGATGCAGAGGCGCGGGACGGATGGGAAGGGGCAGCTGGGGCGGGCGAAGGGCCTGGCATCAAGCTGGGGCCTGGCATCCACAGAAGGATTGGGAAGCTGCTGAGAATGGGGCCATTCAACATCACGCAATCCTGAGGTCACAGAAGCTGCAGCCCTGCTGCCAGCGGGGTTAAAGGATTTCCGCGGGTTTTTTCAACATCACTCATGAGCTTCGGGGTTGGGACATGCACGGCGGTTGGGCAAGCACCATCAAGAGATTGTAGAACTGAAGGGGTCCAAGAAGCTGGCTGCTTGGATCGGATGGGGCAACTGAGGGGGTGCACCTGGAGGATCAGTCAGGCCTGCCACTACAACCAAGCCGTTGGATCCACACAAAGACGGATGTTGTAACATCACAAAGTAGGGACTAATGTTTGACGCCAACGCCAACGGATGATTTGCATGTGTTTTTGTGCATTGAAGTGAGCTAGCCTCTGCCAGCGGCGTACTCCCGATCATTCATTCTGGCCTCTTGCAGGAAGTATGGACGAAACTTTCAAGAACAACTGCTGCCTGGCAGACATGTGTTTTCCAATTGTTCCCAAATTTGCTGCAAATCGGAAATGGACTGGCATGTCGTGACCCGGTCACAAATCTGACCACTGACCCAGCCGACCCTCAAGCAGGGTCAGGTGCAACTCAATGGAAATCAAACATAGCTTGACAGACACCTTCGTTCTTGGCTCGACTCTATCCGGGCTCATTCTTTTGGGGGATCAAGGTCAATCCTGCATCTATATAAGAAGCACGGTCCCAAGTCCGCTGTCATTGCCTCAGCAACCTTCTAAGTACAAAAGACACCCAACATCCGAGACTACCTAAAACTATACAAGACTACCGGACTACCACTCTATATAATGTTTTTCAATCACAGCAACCCTTTGGACCTTCGGCCACCCTTTAGGTATATTTATAGGATTAGGGGTTCCCACAGCTCGAAGCCTTCTAAGCCTTTGGTTTTCCCGTTCCCACAGCTAATCCTCATCACTGTCACAGGTAACTCCTCACTCCTCCCCTCCCTCCCATTCCAAGACCGGGTTACGGTCTTGGAACGTTCTCGTCTCCAGAAGTTGAGGAAGCTGGCCCAGGAGCTCCAGGCCCAACGGGAAGCGCTGCTGAAGAACGCCGGACTCACCTCCCTGGAGCGATGGGCAACGGTGGGGGTGGGGGGTTGATGGTGAGTCGGTCACGTAGATATTTTTGACGGACAAAACGGCACCCGGAGATGTGAACAACAGGCATTCCCCAAACAACAGAAGAAACAAAGTTTGTTTGCTCTTAGGTGAGTTTTGGCTTTTGAGCCGGTTTTTGGAATTTTCAAGGTTAGAGGTGGGTTGGATGATGTTGGCGCAAGGCTGGCTTTGCCCCGTTGGCGGTTGGCCCTCCGGTTCATCGGGCGCTGGTTTGCACCGGCGAGGTTTCACCTGCCCAGCACCCGAGCAACAGGGGTGTTCACGTCTCCCACAGCCGGCTGTGGGGCATGGCACTGCGGAGACGGACCCCCGGTTGACCAGGTCAACCTTCCAGTGTGAGTTCCAGGTGCTGTGGGTCTTTGACCCACTGTCCGCTGTGAAACAGAGGGGAAACCGCTGTCCCAGAGGACGTGCACATTTGGGGGGACATGTTTTTTCTTCAGAGAGACTCTTTTGACCATTCAACTGGTGTGTGTGTGTGTGTATTGTAATGCTTTGACCACCAAACAGTCAGTCCTAACGATCGTTTGGCCGCTTGGCCACCGTTGCTTGCTTAGAGGAGATGTCCAAGAGTATTGGCCTCGAAGACCACACTCCGCACTTGCTGAATGCTCCTTGGTTCTGCATGGCAAGCAAGGAAGCGCACTAGTCCTTTCAGCCTACGGGGACGTCGTGGGCTTTTCGGGATGAAACCACGACGGCCCCGGGTACTGAGGCAAAGCCTCGGGTGTGTTGCAGCCGCAGCCCTCCAAGTACTTCAGTTTGGATTTCACGGAGGGAGTGATGAGTGTGTCACTCCCAGCAGACGTTCTTGTATATTTGTGTATACATTTGCATACTATTTTTGAGAAAAAGACGCACTAGTGGCAAGACAGCCATTCTGTCATGCTGCCATGCTTCTTTGGACAAGAGTGGTTCAAAGGCGCCAGACTATGATTGACAGGGCTTATGTGGTATCTTCATTACGGTCACTTCTGGCCAGAAAAAGCGCCCTCCACCGGGGGCCGAGCGGCTCAAAGCCGCGAAGGGTTCGGATTCATCGTGTGGTTTCTTCTCATTCCCTAGGGATCCAGTCGTACCCTCTCAGAAGGTACTTGGACTCTCCAAACCTACATAACAGTGTCTCCAATCACATTCTGAGAAGGTACTTGGATCCCTAGGGATTTGTGTTTCTTTTATTTTTTTGGGGGGGTACGGTGAGGTGTGCTACGATCCGGAGCTCAATGGATGCTTGATCTACTTCTTGCGAAGAGGGGCGCCTCGTCGGGAGTGTTTTGTTTCTTTCAATGCCGAAGTGCAGAGTGCTACAGGTGGCTGCCAAATGCTGCCAGTATCAAACATCATGGACCACATTCCTTTGGTTGTTGGTGTATGCTATTTGAACGTATTTGGTCTGGTGATTTTCTCCAGGATGTGCGAACAATATGTGTGCATTATTCTACTCAAGACTCTCAGCTATGACAGGTGAACGTCCAGACTCTTCACCAACCAGGTTTGCCAGGCTTGGTTGAAGGACGGGCTCCAGCCAACCCTAAACCCTAAACTAAAAACCCTATATAAACCCTTAACCATCACTGGGTATTCACTGGGTAATTCCCCTGCACGTTCTTTTGCCTTGCCTCCAGGTGCCTTGCACGCTCGGAAGCGAAGCTCGGGCAGCACTCTCTCAAGTTATTCAGCCCATGGACTGACAAATGCATCCAAGGATGTCCGGCAAGACAAGGGAGTTGATAAGCAATCCCGCCCCAAAAAACCCTCCCCCCCCCCAAAAAAAAAAGCATGTTTGTCCTTCAATACTACGCCACGATGCAGCTCTTCCCCTTCACACGTGGCAGTGAGAAGCTCGCTTTCACAGCGTCCTGCCGGCGCTGTTAGAGGCCGATAAATGACTCGACATGAACAAATGCCATATGTGCATATGTCCATTTAGCTATATAAGGAGCCGGAAGTATCTATTGTAATTAGTCCATTACTCCTCTAACAGGGAGCCAAGGAGCTACAGGGAGTTCCCTACTCACTGGCTATATAGTTGATACAGTATCTATTTTAAATATAAGTACTGGTTCGACAGACCGCCCACCTCAGTTCATGTTGGAGTCAAGCAGAGTTTTGCTGAGGCACCTGCAGAAAACCTGAATGAAATATCCAATATTGGCTGCTTATGCCTGTTTTTGTTTAAAGCAGATTGAATCGTCATTATCATTGCATAGGTGTCATGTTGTTCAATCATGAATCCCTTGGTGTTGAGGATGGTTTGCTGAGGATGCCAGCAACACCATCTCGTTGAAGGGTTTGGGGATGCTGCCCCAGATGTGTGAGATCAAGAACATCGACAATTGTGACTCGTTCGAACGAAAAAGGAATCGTTTCGAGTTTCGCAGTGAGAAACAAAAAAAGCATCCATCAAAACAAACACACAAAAATCAAACACATATCACATAACATCCATAGAAAACTGGAGGGTAAGCTTCTCAGAGCTGCGGACCTGGAGAGGGTGTGTTTTAAACTCCGGCCTGATGAGTTGGACGGAAATGGGCGGGGCGTTTTGGCCTGGTGGCGATCGCTCTCAGATTCAGGAAACAAATCAACTGGTGGACCCTGGAAGTACTAGGGCCTCGCTTTAAGTCGTATCAACTGGAGGAAAGTCGTATCAAAGTGGTGTGCCCTTGGGGATTGACTTATCTATGGATGTTTATTGTTTATTGTTGATTGTAGGGAGCTGAACACAACTGTCCCCTCACACAGCCTGCTGTTCCCTGTAGCTTCAACCAAAAGCATAATCTGGAGAAGGCGCTTGATGACCTTTTTCTTATTTTCCAAGCCAGCAGATAGAGATGGCCGATGCTGAGAAGACACGAATTCCGCGGTGTGTTGGTGGAGGTAGGCCCAGGCTGCAGATAGAGCGCTGGATGCTTCCAGGCAAGGTTCTTCTTTACCACAAAGCTGGCCGTGTTCTCTTGAACGGCCGCCTCATTGGAAGCCAGGAGCGGGGCCTTCTGAGGGTTGGTTGTATAACTGTTTGATACTTTTTGTAGCTGTGTCAAGTCAAGGACTCCAAGAACCTCGTGGACTGGTTGGCAACAATTGCGCGGGGGTCGAATGGGATTGCTTGTGGTTGCTTTAAATAGACGGAACACAGTGCATGGGCTGGTCCTTTATGAGCACGCTCCCCGTACACAAGGAAACATCAACGGAAGAGTTTGTGGTGAAATATAGGTGTGTCGTTCTAAGCTGTGCCCACTGCACCATCATGGTGTCCTGTTCAAAGTGCTTCTTTTGGACCTTCCATGGTTTTGCAGGATGAGAAGGGAAAGGACGAGGCGGGACAACTGAGTGGAAAGGGAGGTTTTGCAAAGAATAGGAGGCCCCCAATCAATTGACGTTAGCTAGTAGTCTGTTTAGAATCTGTGTATTTTCCACGGCCCCGCATAAAGACAAGAAGACACATGAAAGACATGAACAAGGTAGTCAGGAACTGAAGGCCTAAACTGAGAATAGGATGCTAGTGACACCCCTGCAAGTGTGTTCCAACGTCTCACATGCAGTGACTTGATGGATGGATTGTTGGATTGTCCGTGCGTTGCGTTGATCCATGTGTGTTTATTTGTTGGTTCGGGGGGCCGGCGGCATGGGGCGACAAAGTCCATCAGGGAAGCATTTGGATACTGTAAGAGGCGGCACATAGCCACTGGCCCAACATGCGTCACTGACTCAAAATGGTTCGTTGCTAGAAACCCTACAAGTACCTGTAGACATTGGTAGACCGTCCCAAAGGGAGCGACCCAGTGATCCAGGTCACTTCACCTCTCTTGGTGTGACCCTTCGTGACCGGAACGGTCACGGACTGTGGCGAGGAATCGCCCCGCCATGATTCGACAGGAGACCCTCAGGCACAATGATCGCATTATCGCAGGGCATGCCTTTTGCTTTCGCACCTGGGCGGAGAAAAACTTGGCTCTAAAGAAACGCTAATGGCAAGAAGCTACTAGTAACAAGAGCATCGCTACTAGTAACAAGATGTAACAAGGGCATTACTAGTAAAGAGGTCCAAGCGCACGGCCTTCACCAAGGTCCAACACCTGGACACCGTCCCCACAGGTCACGAGAGGAAGAGGCTTTGCGGTGCGGTACGGCTCAGCACCCCTTCCTTTGTTGAACATCCAATTGGGAGGTCTCCGGGATGATCAGGCCCCATGGATCACACTCGTGTCGATCTGATTCATCTCCCTAGGCTTTATTTTTCCACTGGAGAGCAATATGGGAGAGGAGTTGCCACTGGAGTCGCTTGGAAAATCCGCTCCGTCCGAACTTCGACCGACGGTGCGGTCCGTCGTTTCAACCCGAAGAACCGACAGCTGCAGCCTTCACCAGGCCTGTCCTGCCATGGACAGGGTGTTTTACATGTCAGATGGACGGATGTCGGCCGATGGGACGGCCATATATATGGAGCAGGTATCATCTGCAGTTGAGGTTGAGAAGGGTCTATGACTAACAAGAACTCACATCTCAAAATGAAACCTGTCATTCACATGACCAGAACGCCAGCTTCACTCTGCTACCGGAAGGGAAAGGCAAGGTACAAGAACATGCAGAAAGTACCTGCAGCGGCCCCCTCCCCGCAATATTGTATAAATAGAAATGACTTGCTTGCAGGGCAAATTCCAAGTTGAACAAGCAGCAAATTGGACACCGAGAGGTTTTTCCGCATTTCCGCTGTGGTGATTCGACTGAAGCTGTGGCGATTCCCAGCTTAAACGTGAAAGAACCACTACAGTACATGGAGAGAAACTCCGAATGGCACTGCATCAAAAAATAGACATCTTCCGAGCCCCAACAAGCAATAGCCGAGTGGCAAACACGAGACATGTTAAGCACTTCATTTGCTCTGCGCTGTGTGGAAGAGGAAAGCCCTCACAAAACAGACCGCAAGGGAAAAGCAGATGGCTCAAAGAAAGTTGGAAACCGTGACTCCATGCACGCTGGGGACCCCTGTCTTTCTCAGAGAAACACCTCCTCGGAAGCTCAGGACTGCACTGGATGAGATGGACATGGGGGATGATCAGAACTACCAGCAGCTAGGACAGGGAAGACAGGTCCTTTTCATTATATACCATAGCAGAGTGAGTACACTCCCTTGAGCAATCATGGAAGTGGAAAATGACTACAAAGCAGTGGTTTGCCACTTCTATGATATTTTAGGAAGTGTATATAGTGCGGGCTACTGGGCGCTGGCCTTTGAAGTGCTTGAAGTCACTTCGATCTGGATTACTGGCATTCATTACTGGAGTCCAAGCCGAGTGTGCTGTAATATCCTGCTATGAAGTTACAATGGCTGTTTCCTACTCTTCTGAGACTGTTTGATGAAGAACCCTTTGTCAAAACCCATGATTGGTGAAATGTGGCAAATACAGATTGCTAGGGCCGTTTTGGAATCTCCAAAATCACTTTGTTTTGTAGTTCCGTTGACCAAGGCGATGCTTGCTGCTCACCAAGAACTTCCAAAACCGGATCGGCGATGTCCGTGCACGCCAGTGATTGGTCGCAACATGTGACGGGAACGATGACGGTCTGACCCCACTTGTTGCATCATGTTTTATACTTGAGTGCGGGTTAGTTTGCTGTATTTTGGTGGTTCTGATTGGGGGTGTTGCTTTATGTGTTGCACATTGACGTAAATCCACTCCATGAATGTGGGCAGGGCTTCCAAGGAAACTGTGGAATGAAGTCCACATGGAAAGAGTTGCAGGGTAGTGCAGCCACGGATTGAAAATTTCAGTGTTTGGTTCAGAAAGACTCCTTCAGTTCCGGAAACTTGAATCTTCACTGGTCCCTAAAGGACTCCCCCCTCCCGTCATTCTGAAAGAGTTCGAGGTTCCGCCAGATCTTTCAGAAGGCCGGCGCGTCAGGTTTCAACTCGACAGTCGTCACTTGACATATGGTTTAGTGTGTTTTGAATAAAGATCGACAAAGTCACGAAAGCTAGCGAAGCTAGCTGGAGTTACTCTTGCGATAGCAAGGTTTCTTTCGATCGGGTGCATTTTCAACCCCTGATCTTTCAGGTCGAAGCCCCCCCCCTCCCCCCCCTCCCCTCCCCACCTCCCCTCTCCTCCTCCTTGTCTTCCT